CTCCTCCCTAAGACTCGTCGAGGGGTAACTTCTCTACCGTTTCATCATCAAATACCACAAGCATATGGTTCTGGCGCTTTTGTCGCCAAAGGACCCGCTTGCCGTACTCACCAACCGGTCCTGATTTGACTATCGAAGCGTACGTACATTTGACTTGCGCGGTCATCCGCTCTCTCTGTAGAGCGAGATCGTGGAACTGCCGATAATTATACTTACCAGATTTCGCCTCTGCCATAAGCTGTCCACAAATGGACTCAGGCAATGCTCGTAAGTAGATAAACAAGACTTGATGATTCTGCAAGTTCAAATCATATACCTGCAAGAGACGGTCAACTTCACAAGACAGTGTATCGACGAAAGTCCAACGTTTCTATCCTATGGTGGTGAGATCGTCAAAGGTCTTATTGGTCGTCGTCTTATCTAGGAACCTCTCCTTAATCTTCTGGAGAAATTACCTGAGAGTAAGTGACTTGGCCCACTTACCGATATCTTCGAAGCCAGCAGCTTTGGCTTCCGCCAACACCCATTCCTTGACCACTCCCTCTAAGCATGACGTAGAGAAAGCAACCTGACTCTCTGCTTCAACGGGTGCAGTACCGCAGTAAGTCTGGATTTTGGCAATCCACAGCAACAAGTCATCGTCCTTCTTATTACTATAGGTGAATGGTAACTTCATTCTCACCTTTTCTTTCTTCTTGGGTTTCTCAGTTTCTTTCACTAGTTCCTCTTTCTTTTCGGTGAGTGTTTCCTTCTTCTCTGACAATCCCTCAAGCTCTTTCTTCGAGGGCCCGAGTTTGTCTAGTGTCACTTTCGGCATTGCATCTTTCATCAATTTCTCTTAGGGTGATTTTCTTTTTGCTTTGCCCTTCGTCTCCTCCTCAACACTCAACTTTCCTTTGCCTTTAATCATTCTGGTCATAGATTCAACCGCGGTGGTGTTACTGTTGATCTTATTTTCAAGATGTACGAGGTAAACCATAATAGACTGAAGAATAGATGCAATCTCACTTTCTGCTTCCTCATAGTGAAACCTTTGCCTCAACTCTTCCATAACTCTTTCTTTTTCTTCTTGCTATACTTTCAATCTTCGGTATTCTTCAACTTTTTTTCTCTCTTCTTTCAATGTGTTTTCTAATTGTATGATATTTTCCTTCATCACATCCACAGACAATTGTGGTTCTTTCTTTCTTTCCCTTTTTTCTCTTATTTTCCGGTCCATTCGTTCGAAGCCTTCAGCGACATACCGATCAAGGGCTAATCGCCCTTGCTTTATGAGGTCCTTAACCCTCTGGCATGTCTCCATCATCTGAACAACAGTTTCAGCGGTCTGTAGGTCTTTTTCTGCATCATGCAGATTGACCTTTCCGTGAACATGTTGTTCAGCGTTTGGATCGGCACGAGTTATTTCGCCAAGCGGCTGTCAAAGGAGACCCATCAACGTATGTCTCCTTCCATCAATCAGACCACGGGTTTTCAGTTCCACTCTTTCTTCATCGGCAAAGATAGAGAGAGGGATGGGGAAGAAGAAAAGGGGTATGAACCGAGTTAAAATAGAGGCACGCAGACAATAATGAAGAGAATTCATTCTGACAAATGTGCAGATGTCGCACAGTAAATAAAATTAAAAGATAAAAATAAATTTCACGACGCACGCAACTTTTACAGCAAGAATTGTTGGAGGCAAATACAAAGAAACAGATATTATCAATTTATTAATTCTATTTCGCTGTCTGTTCTTCCTACTTTATGTGTGATGACGTCCCACAGTATGTGTACAGATACCGCAATCACGGCCAGTGTGATCAAGACAACAACACACAGGTGAGTATGCAAGGACACCACAGAACAGCAAACAAGTAAGTAGAAAACCAACACAATAATTACAATTAATAGTTAGCTTCCTCGCTTTATGGCTGTACTATCTGTAGCATCCAACGCAAACCAGCATTCGACACTACAGCAAATCGCGAAGCCGTACCATCTGCCAACACTCACACTCAATACTTCTCCCAGCAATGCATGCCACGTGTCAGCCCTGGCATGCCAACATAACAGCTCGTTAGAGTCTGCTACGTCAGCACAACAAAAACCCAGGGGGTATACAAAGGGGATGCCACGTCAGCAATGCGCACAATACATTGGCATGCCATGTCAGTGCCTAGTAAGCAGGTTCCCAAGGCACAGGTAAGTGCCACGTCAGATCATGTCCTGCCAAAATACCACGTCAGCATTCCACATTATGCCACGTAAGCAATATGCCAAATTAACGGTCCTAATCACATACTTCCTTGGTCTGGACCAGCGTCATGTCAGCCAATTGCTAACGAAGCGCTCATCGGTATAAATCTTCAGCCACGTCATCATCTTTAAGGGACGGTTGCTCGCACGTGCATCACTACCATCATAGTACCATGTCTAGACTTGCGGTATTATTGCGCGCGTTAATAAACGCGTTTCATTTTCCACATGCGGCACCTCCCACTTGCCTGGGTGCCACATCAGCACCTGACAGCAGACAGCAGATCGCGATGAGGAGTATGCTCCGATAACAAATTGTAATGAACCTTGTCTGGTGGATACTCATCTCACATCAAAATACAAGTCAATACAGATCTGCACAATGTTTCTAATAATCAGGAAATAATATCAATTACAAAGTCTCATTACCAATTAGATAAAGACAAAAGAGGGAGATTAGACAATTGAGAAGGTGGGAAAGAATCAATAATCATCAAGAGAGTAGCCCAACCTTCTCACTCCTTCTTCGGGCTTCTCCCCTCCTCCACGTAATCAATAATTATCCAATAACGAGCCTGACCAACCCTTACCACAACGAAGTGCCACATGGCACTACTCCCCAACGGAGACCGTGAAGACAATCAGCAACGAACGGTAACGGCGTCATCCTCACGTAAAAATCTCGATCCCGACTCATCCACAGATCCAGATCTTCCTCCTTCTTGCGACCTGTCACCTCATGTAGACAGCGTGGCGATTGCCACGTCAGCAGCAAAGACAGGTGTCAAACGCCACATCATCAATGAAGACAGGTGGCCGTACCACCTCAGAAATGAAGACACGTGACAAGCGCCACATCAGCAATGACGACACGTGGTCTCACGATATCAACAATACAGATAAGTGGCAGCGCCACATCAGCAATGCCTGGCGCCTGTAGCAGAGCACGCCAACATGCTGCCACAGTTCCGTGTTGTCGCCAGTGTCGCGCCGGCGTCAAGCCAGCGTCAAGTCAAAGTTAAGCCAACGTCGAAGCAGCATAGCAAGAATGAATGTTGACCACCTCGAGGTCAGACTTTAAGTAGCGTTTGACGAGGCTCTCTAGCCTCGGGTCTACCTCCCTCAGTCGTCCAGATTGAATCGCAGCCGAAGGCCTGGATCGAACAGTTGCAGATTTCCCCCTTGGACCTAATGCTGCTTGGGATCCTGCATACAAACAAGTGTGTGTGTTTGACTGACGGCCTGGACTGGGTACCTTGACTTTGTGGTTTCTCAAAGTCAACTGTCAACTGTCTCACGTCCAGGCCCTGAGTTCACGTGTGGGGTCTTTACCCCATTAGGCCTGGACTAAGGAATGCCGCGTCGGCCCTGAGATTTCCACGAGGCATACAGCATGGGTTATTGCAAATCAATCAATCAATCAATCAATCAATCAATCAATCAATCAATCAATCAATCAATCAATCAATCAATTTTTTTTTTTTTTCTTTCTTTTTTTTTTCACACATTAAAAACCACCCCCCCAAAAATAAAATTTTAAAACTTTTTTCTGTTCAAGGGGGTGGGGTCGGGGTTTCGGAACCCCAATCCACAACACTCTTACCCACACCTTCCCCCCTTAGCCGCAGCCGCCCGTTTTTGCCCGCGGTTGCCGCGGTCATGACCACGGCCCTGCGGCCCCGACCATGGCCCGTGGTCGTACCCGCGGCGACCGCGGCCGCGGGGGATTCATAGACATACCCCACTTGGAGTGGGGTATGGGTTCAACGGTGCTTGTGCCATCATGACCTTCTATGGGATGACACTCTGACAGCCATGGGCGAACACTCTGACATTTTGTGGGAGGACACTCTGACACTGAGTGTTCATGTTGTGTTCAGCTGTACAGCCCCAAACTCGTTTCTGTGAATGCACCAAGCCAGGGGTACTGTCTACCCTTATTTCATGTTCTAGTGAGTCCCTATCTCGGACGTTGCGTAGTATGCGGAGCCTTTCACTGAGGATTGTTGTATTTTCCATTTTACTTTTTAGAAAATCTGGATAAAAATTTCAGTAGCATTTGGTTATTCATTGTTTTTTGGGAAATAGTGAAAAAAAAGCTTTCATTAGCATTTGATTCTCATTTTTTGCCTTTTTTTTTAGTTTTTAAGTCGCAAAAACCGTGCCACACCGTTGCGCTGAGGAAATTCTAGGTGCATGTGGGACTTGGCCCCCGGGGCCATGTCCCACTTGCACCGTTGAGCTAGCTCAACGTTGAGTATTCTATTACGTGTGACCTGGGGCGATTCACACGATCACACGATGAGCGGGGCAGCGGGCGGTCAATTTATTTGTGAAATGATAAACGACTTTCGGGTTTGTTTTTGGTCTAAACGAAGGGGAAAATGCGGCCGCCCCCGATTAGAACGCCCCCTACCCTGGCCCACTTCCGTTGAACTAGCCGCCTTTTCAAAAACGGGGTAGGTAGTTCAACGGTGGCTGCTCGGATAGATTTCCCGAAAACGAAAAATTATCGGACACAGGTTCATGATTGCCGTCGTGCCAGGCTCCGTGATCCGCGCACGTAGAAAGTGCGTAGTGCAAACGGTGGAGGTATTTCGACCATAATTGCGCCGCACAGCCAGAACTGAGAAGGAACAGTATCTCCGCTGCCTTCGCGGTCCCTCGCACCACGGCTGCTTCTTCGATCTCCATCACCATGGCTGAACCTATTTGCGTCCTTGTTACCGGATCTGCGGGTCAAAATCGGCTATGCCCTGGTCCCGCTCATTGCCAGGGTCCATTTGTTGGGCCCGGACCAGCCAGTCATACTGCACATGTTGGATATTCCCCCATGCGCGGACTCTCTCAAGGGTGTGGAAGCTGCGACCGGTGTGAAGGTTGTGGTGATGGTGGGCGGGTTCCCTTGCAAGGCTGGCATGGAGCGCAGAGAGGTTATGGGCAAGAATGTCACCATCTACAAGGAGCAAGCGGCCGCGTTGGACAAGTACGCCGATAAGGACGTCAAGGTGCTGGTGGTTGCGAATCTGGCAAACATGAATGCGCTCATTCTGAAGGAATACGCGCCGTCGATTCCCGCTAAGAACATGACCTGTTTGACGCGTTTGGATCACAACATGGCTCTTGCGCAGGTTGGGCAGCGCGCGGGCGTGCCTGTCATCAATGTCAAGAACGTGATCATCTGGGGCAACCACTCCTCCACGCACTATCCCGACGTCAACCACGGAGTTGTCAAGACTCCCGAGGGCGTCGAGAAACCAATCAGGGAGGTCATCAACGATGACGAATGGTTTAACGGGGTATTCATCAAGACCGTCCAGCAGCGCGGAGCGGAGATCATTAAGGCCAGGAAATTCTCCAGCGCTCTATCAGCTGCCAGCGCCGCATGCAACCACGTGTACAATTGGCTCAATGGAACACAGGAGGGTACTTGGGTCTCCATGGGAGTATTCTCTGACGGATCGTACGGCGTGCCTGCCGGTCTCATCTATTCCTTCCCTGTTACATGCAAGAGTGGAGAATGGAAAATTGTCCAAGGTCTTCCTATTGACGATTTTTTGAGGCCGAAGATGGATGCAACCGCCGCCGAGCTTGTGGATGAGAAGAACCTGGCGGATTCTATTATCAAGGGCACTTAGACAGGTGTTGGCAGCAGGGGGAAAAAGTAAAAAAGATGTCGGCTGCAGTAGTAATTTTCGCGGATGCGTTGACTATATTAGGTACCTCGTTTCGTTGAGAGGGAGTGAAAGGGGGGCCGAGATCGTTGAACAGTGTTTTTTTTAGCAGGACAAGATTTTCGTGTGTTGCATTAGGTTCATGGCAAGAGAACCATAGTTGCGGAAGTCTAAGACGAGGTTTGTGAGATTCAATGATCTTTGGCAGCTTGGCGTTGGATTTCCTGCTTGGCGTTGGATTTCCTGCTTGTTATTCTATGAATAACGTAGTTATGAAAAAAAAAAAAAAAAAAAAAAAGTGCGTAGTGTCAGACTACAATCCGTAAGAACACCGCATGAGGTTCTTCACAAATTTGGGCACAAGGAGTAATGATAACAATTTCGCCTTTACTTCTTTTATTTTTTCAATATATTCACAAAATACAAAAAATTCACGAAAAGGTCTTTATGGAATTGACAAAAAATGCGAGAAAATAGTTTTTTAATCATGAAAACCGTGTCGCACCGTTGAGCTAGCTCAACTCAACGGTGCAAGTGGGACATGGCCCCCGGCCTCTAATTAATTTTGAAAAAGAAGGTGTTTACGGGGATTGTCTGCTTGGGGGACCAGCATGTCGGAATGGCGGACATGCCTTCTTTGAGGGTCCTGCTCTACTAATGACCAAGGGCCTCGCCACACCTATCCCAAAACCACCGATTTGGAGAGTTGAAGCATCGCCATACCAACTCTCCAAAATCGGTGTCAGGAAAAAAATGGAGAGCGGCCTGGACGCGGGTTTGAGGAGTGGTCACGGGCTTTTGGAGAGACCCAGCCTGCAAAGTTGGCACTTTGGAGACTGCTCGAGCGCACCTCCGATTCGGACCCGAAATTCGAGAGAGTGCTGCGACGGACAAGCATCTGCGGGGACCGTTTTGGCGTTCTTGGTTCGAGAGAACTCTCGAACTGCGAGGTCGCTCCGGACGCTTGGGCGGCCCAAATCGTGTCCACAACCGCATTTTCGAGAGAGGCCGCACCGCCACACTGCACTCTCCAAGAAGGCCAGGTCTTTTCTGACACGTTGGAGAGCGGCCCCTTCGAGAGCGTAATGCGGCGACGAGGCCTCTCGAACCATTTTTTCGATTTGGAGAGTTCGAGAGCGCTCCTCAACATTTTCGACATTTCGGGATAGGTGTGGCGAGGCCCCAAGTGCCTCGCTGCACTACTCTCGACATGCATAGAAGACAAAAATCGTGGCGGTGTATCTTTCCATATTCTAGTGGAAGATTCACTCTCGTTTTGCACATTTCGAGAGTACTGCAGCGAGCCCCCAAAGGTGAAAAACTGTCGTGAATCTTCCGCTAGAATATCGGAAGATGCGTGCCATACTATTTGCCTTTTGTGCGTGTGTTGCGTAGATACTTACCAATTTGTAAACACTGTCCAACCGCCCCATGATTGCCTGACTGCAACTACGGCTAGGACAGGCCTGCCTGCACCTGACCCCAAACAGGATTGCATCTCCCCCACAAGGCGGCTGGTTCATCCGTTACTAGATTTCGGGTCACACTGGGTTCTCCCGGTTCCTTTTTGTACTTTTTATTTAGGGAACCAAATGTCACGGGCGAGGCCGCGGGAGTACCCTTTTGTTTTTGTTTTTTAACCACCATGTATTGGGGATAATTGGGGTGTGGGAATGCGACATTCAAAATTTTGGACCATTTCTCGATTTAGAGGCTCGCCACACCACTATCGAATCGCGCTTTTTTTCGATAGGTGTTAGAAAAATTCTATAGTCCGACATTCGATAGAAAACCCCCTTTTAGCCAGACTGCACTATCGATTCGGTGGGGTATCGAATGTTTTCCATTTTTGGTCCGCTCTCGACCGTCTGTCGTTTGTGTGCGGGTCCTGTCCTCTAGCGCGTGTGTGGGCGGTTTTTCGATAGTCCGGAATGTGGGCTATCGAAGGGAAGGCGATTGCAGGCGGACGTGCACATTTCGTTCGATAGGGCTATCGAATTCCGATGTCCGATACCCATCGAAGAATTTCAAAGCTGTAATTTTCGATAGGCTGTGTGGCAATAGGAAACTCACGAAAATTCATATTTCGATAGTCTAGCATCTTCACACAGTCTATCGAAAAATGCAGCTTCGAAAATTTTCGATAGGTGTCAGAAATGGGAATTCGATACCCCTATCGAACGAAATGTGCACGTCCGCCTGCAATTCGATAGCCCACACTCCGGACTATCGAAAAACTGCCCACACACACGCTAGATGACAGGACCCGCACACAAACGACAGACAGTCGTAAGCGGCCCCGGAACAGAAAACATTCGATACCCCACCGATTCGACAGTGCTGTGTGGCGAAAGGGGGGGTTTCTATCGAAGTCCGGACTATCGAATTTTTCTGACACCTAAAGAAAAAAGAGGTGATTCGATAGTGGTGTGGCGAGCCCCTTATGCGTGTCATCTTTGCGCAAGGGCCATGCTAATCTTCTCTGTATTGTTTTAGTTTTAACGGATGTCTTTTCTGAAAACAGTTGCTCCATTCTATTCGTGGGAAGCGGTACATGTTGGGATCCGGGCCCAACGTCCCTTATAGGATAAAAACAGACGAGGCAGGGGTCCTCACAGTCTACCCACTCTACCCGGATGACAGTTCAATCCGATTTAAGACCAGTAAATGTGAGAGAATGGAAAAGACAATGAGATATAACTGAGCTAAATATTCCTGGGGGGAGAGCATCAGGCCCTCTCAGCTAGGCTGCCTGAAGCTTAGGGACTAGTACCGGTCTAGGCCTGAGATGGTCTGTCCCACAGGAGGTCAGTATAGCAAACTTTGTCCCTGTCTAAAATGTCTGCCCACTTAAACCACCAGTACCTCGCCCAGCTAAAAAAAAAAGTCGCGGCCGTTAACGCGCCGCGACTTTCGGGGGT